CTGAGCATGATTCAGCCCAATCTGTCAGCAACAGCACTTAATCCTTCCTAAGGAGAGCATGAACTCAGATCCCAGATGTGTCAACCACAGGAAGGGATCATTGGGTTACAGGACATGGCTCACGGTCCACATTGCGAAGCCTTTTCTTTGGCACCTGATGCAGACCCTCCAGGGTTACTTTATCACCAGGGATCCTTACAACTTTCTGCAACTTGCACAGCTTCCAAACTTTAAGAACTTCCTAGTTATTTCACTCCAAAAGAAAGAGTTAAAGAATTTAAAAGCCAAGAGATTGAATTTTCACTGTGAAGTGTATTCAATTGAACACAGCAGGCTAGTGGAACCCTCAGACCTCTTTAAATAAGTCCCTACAGCAAATAATCTCTTCTAATCAGTTTGATGCTTTGATAAATAGACTCCTATTTACTACCATGGGGAGAAAAAGAGCAACTGAATCTCTGCATGTTTGAAATCTAGTATTTTGAGATAGAAGCTATTTGTATATGTAAATATCAGAAACCCTCTAATTTAGAAACACTGACAATTCATTTTTATTTCAACACCATAAGTCTGTTTGTCTAATCCTGGGATATTTTGAGGGATTTTATGTTAGCCCATGTGTATACCATTCCACTTGCCTGCACAGCAAAATTTGCTTGAGTACACAAAACATATAGCAACTTGTTGGGTTGAGTAATAGTAATAATCCATCTAATCACAGTCAATTCAGCTGCTGGTTGCTTATGGGCATCTTTTACACATTAATTTAAAGACTGAATAAGCAAGATCAGAGCAGCTATTTAACAAAAGCATGCTCATAAAGCTCCTCTAAGCACACAACACTCATTTTCAGAGGTTTGTGATCTGGGAACATGCTTTTAAAACAAGTTTACCAGCTTTAACCTTTCTGCCTATCATCAGAAAAAAAACACTTTCAAGTCAAGGAATTTATTTCATTTGTTACTAAATTACAGACATTTCTGAACACTGATTTGTGCATTGAGAAAAAGCACACAGATACACAAACATAACGTGATGGTGGGGTGTGTTGTTTTTTTATTCACATAAAACGTTTTTCTGACCATTCCCCAGTCTCAGCTTGCCTTATTTTCAGTGAGTTACAGTCAGTCAGAATTACCTCCATGAGGTGGTGGGCAGCACAGGAGGTCTAGGTGGCACAAGCAGTTTCTTCATTATTTCTTGTTTAAAGATGTTTAAGCAGGGATACCATGCACTCTAACCAGCTGAGGTTGTGATCCATGATGGGTTGCCACTGTTGGTTCCAGCTCCCTCAGAGCTGGCTGGCAGCAAAGGTGACCAGCATGGGGCAGTTCAAGGCCTACTCAAACAGGTCACCACCGGAAGCCCCCACTACTTAAACCTGTGTGCCTAACACTGTCACAACAGGGAAATAAAGTAGCCCACAAACTCGTAGCTTCGAGAATGGTTGTGGAAGAAATAAGAGTCAAATTACCCCAAACGGCATAGACAACATGGAACGAGCACTCCATGACCAGGGTGTCAGGTGGTGGGACTGCAAAACACATAGTTAAAAAGCATGACTCCAGAATTCTGTCCAAACTTGTGCCAAAGGTTGTTCCAGTCCATGGCACTGTAAACAGGATCCAGTCACTTGGGCTATGATTCTGAGTTGACTGGAGATGAGCCCTCTGTATCACTACCAAATGTGCTGCAGGAGTGGCTGTACCTCAACCTCAACAACCAGATCGTCAGACACAGGTATTCCCTCCACGTACGTTGTTGCAGGCAAAGGTATTGGAGAATATCAGCTAATTATTCCCCCAAGGCAACAGTATAGCAGTTTGACTGCAGGAGAAGGTTCACTTTTTTCTTAACCTCAACTCTAAAGGTACTAGAAGTCAAGCATCAAGAGAACAGAAAATCCCTCTGTCTTTCCAGGAAAAGCAATAAATCAGAAGTGAGTTCTGTGAAGACTTGGATAAATATACAAGGGGCTAAGAAGCACTGGTATCCACTGAAAAAAAAAACCTCAACATGTGAGGAGTAAGAAGAGCTCTTCCTGACAAGTTTTTCCAGGCTTTTTGCTTTAAGGATGACACACTGAATGCAGACAAAAATTTCAAGGATGAAAACCAGATACATGGCAAAAAGAAGTAATGAAGGTGTCAGTGATGACAGAATTGTCTACTTCTGCATGGCTGTAGTTCTATAAAGTGCCTGGAACACCTCCAACAAATGACATTCAAGAAGCATGTCTATTTGTAATAAAATTGTACCAATCAGTGATATGCTTCCCTAAAGGCCACAATCCCATCACAGCAGGCAGTTCAGTGGAAACCATGGTGTTAAAAAAATTGAGGGGCAAAGCAGTCTGGGTTATTTTTTAGTTGTGTTTGGTTTTTTGGTTGGTTGGCTTGGGATGTTTTGGGAGGGTAGATTTTTTGTTGTTTTGTTGTGGGTTTTTGACATGTCTGGTAGGTGTGCATGGAGAGATGACTGGTTCAGGTCCAGTATCACATGCAGAACCTCGATTTCAAAATTTCAGTTAGAAGTTGCAGTTGTATGCATTACCATTCCCCTTCCAACTAGAAAAAAAATACTAAAAAGATCAATAGTTCTTAGAACATGACCTTTCTTTTAAAAGCATTCATTTACACATGACTAAGGATATTCTAAGTCCTTGACTACACATCTGATTAATATAAATGTGGCTTATCAATACAGCATTTGAATTGTTGGTTTATAAAGCAGCAAGATCTCTGGGCAATGAACTCTGATGGCACTGGCTATAAGATTTTCATGTACAATTAAACTCCTGTAAAAGAAATCACTTTTTAATGAGTAAAGTTGTCATTGTTACATCATTCTATGATGTACTGTATCCAGGTTTCTCAAGGAGGCTTACTAATCACCATAAGCTTCATAATATTCCAGTTAAATGCATTTAGTGTACGGTACATTGCAGAAGTAAACACAGGTTGAGATGCTGTCATGCCCTCTAATCCCTTCCATAGTCTGTGGCATTCTGTATTCATTCCTGTGTGCTTCAACTCCAGCACCACCACCCCATCTCGCACTAGCTAGAGGGGTGACCTGCAATTTACAGAAGCAGCAACACAAATCTCAGTCCTGTGCAACTGAAGTTGTGAAAGCAGACACATAGTGGAGTGATGCTGGCTTTGACTTCATAATTCCTTCAGTTCTCTGCTCCGATAGACTTATTAAAAAACCTGATTAATAAGAGAAAACACCTTGTGCAGGCTCCTAATAGACTATGTTGATTTCAGCCTTTCTTCGGTATGTTCTCAGGGCCACTGCAGTACAATTCATATTACACATTACCTTCAACCTTTTCATTCATCTGTCAAATATATGCTACACATTGAAATAGCTTTCCTTCTCTACAAAAAATAAAATAAAAAAATAACAAAAAAATAAGATTAACAAAAAAGACCCCTGTGTGAAAAGGATCTGGCTTTTCAAGCTTTCCTCTATAGCCTGTATATTTTCTTCTGCAGTTCACCACTATCAGTAAGTACATTGATCTCAGGGGAATTACATTTGATAGCATATTTAGTTCACAGGACTAGCACAGTTACATTAAACAGAGGCTGATAATAAAACATTACATCTCCCTCCCCCCAGCACTCCATTTGCCATGATGTAAAAGGCAGACACCCCATAGAGAAATTAATCAGAAAGAAGGAGAATGAATCTAGGGAGTGAAAATTAAAGACCCCATGACATCTACATCCATCTACTACATCCAGATGAAACAGTGTCCCAAAACTCCAGGATATATTAAGATCCTTCTGAGAGATGGAAGTGGTTATAGAATTCAGCATATTATCATCAATATAAATTATAGTTATTTAAATGGAAGGATTTTTCTTTGCTCATCACTGAAGCTCCACAGAGAGCACCATGTCTTTTACAGGAAAGCACACCTGTTTTGCTCTGCAAAGTGATGAAAAAGACTCAAAGCTTAAAGACAAATCTCCTGTAGAGACAGTGTCAGTCTGACTTCAGTAAAGTCATGCTGCTTTGCCTCCACTAAGGATACAGCTTAAGAATCTACATTTTCCCTTAAAGGGAAATCTGAAGAAGTGTCTGTGTTCAAAAAAAGAGACATAATTGAGTGTCCCCAAATTGCAGTTCTTCCCCAGTCGGTCTAACTGCTCTCAAAGCTTTTCAGCACCAGAACTATTCCAACATAAGGAGTGTCTAAAACTGTCTTAAGGACTTCTTCATTTCCATTTAGCCTTTAACCGTACACTCATCTGTCAGTATCCCTACAAAAAGATATTTGCCTAAGTGCCTGGGCAAGAAAATTTGGCTGAAGTGGTTTAATCTGGATAGAATGGAAAGGAAGGAATCTTGCCTTTAAGCACACATGCACTACTCTAATGTTTATAGACTTGAACTTGTAGCACAGAGGACAGCTTTAACCAGAAAGAGAAATAGTTATGAGTGGGCAAAAATGCATGCATTACACAGTGTGTTTTAAACAATCATTCAGGTTTTGCAGCACCCTAACTAAATGCCAGGATTTAAATTTATAATATGAGCAAAAGTATATACAAGAAAAACCTCATGAGCCTTAGCTGTTACAGAGAGTACTAGCTTTAGATTAGGGCTTCCTCGAAAAGGAGTTTAGTAGATCAGGGTTTGAAATGCTGCTTCCAAATATGCTATGTCTGATTTGGTTAGAAGACCTGAACTTAGAGTGTGAAGCAGAGAAAGAAAAACCCTTAAGTAGATCACATCCCTCCACAATAGAGGATACAGAGTAAACACGTTATCTTTGCTGTATAAGTTAACTTAGATCGTTTCAGGTGTTTGCAGATGTAAAAGGCTGAATCAACCATGCAAGCCTAGTTTTTTACTAGAGGCTTTATGTTTTACCAAAATAAAAGCTTAATTTTATTTTAAATTTTAAGCTCACCTCTTCTAGACACATGTAAGCAACCTTAAATCACTTTACAGGAGACTGCAAAAATTCCAATAGGGCAAGGAAGTATAAAGCTGCTTCTATTTTCAAACACCAAGATTATTCCAGCCTTGGCAGCTCTGGGTCAGAGATCACACCTGGACCTTGAGAGATTATTAAACAAGTATTCAAGAAGGATGAGGACTATATAACATGCTGTTACTAGACATGTCTCATACTCCCTGCGTCACAAAAGCTGTTAGTTTGCAGCAAGTGGCTGCACACCAGAAGATAGACATAAGAAACGGCAAATTTAGTTAGAGCTTTCAAAACACACATCAGTTTATTCAGAGTGAAAAAATCTTCCTACCTCTTGCAGACTGTGGAGCTGATGAGGATACAATGATTTTGCCTCCACAGGAAGGACGGCGGTATCAGACTGCTCGAGGGTAAAAAGGGTCTTCCCACATATTTAACATTCCTGTTCAAACTCACGCTCCAGTAAAAAATTGATCGTGGTAGAGTCTGCAACCAGTAACAAGACAGATAGTGCTCTCATTAGTTGCTATCAGTGTAAGCCCACTACTTGTCAGGAATATCTCTGGTACAGTGCTGCCCAGTTACAGAAGGCATACACCAAGTTCTGCCACCAAAACACCAGAGGAATAAACAGTAGCAATTACTTTACTGCAAAATACAAGTCTGCCTTTTTCACTTTGTCCCCCCAAATGCTCTCTTTCCTTCATCTTAACAATAGCTTACTCACCTTTCTACCACTGCCTATGCAAAAGAAAGCCAACAAGTAACCAGGTGCCCAGGCCCTGTGTTTTTCAGAAAAGCCCTTCTGAGCCTCTCAGTACATAATTAGCCCCCTGCTTAAATTCACCAAACATCCCCACACACATAGCCCAAGCATCTTTCTACTGTTTTAGCTCTGATAACAGAAAACTATAAATATTTAACAAATTTCAGCAGATCATAAAATCCTGCAGGTTAGAAAGAACCTTTAAGATCAGCAAGTCCAACCATTAACCTCATACTGTCAAGTCCACAACGAAACCATGTCCGTAAGTACCATATCTACATGTCCTTTAAATACCTCCTGGTGACTCCACCACTTCCCTGGGCAGCCTGTTCCAATGCTTGACAGCCATTTTGATAAAGAAATTTTTCCAAAAATCCAATCTAAACCTTTCCTGGCACAACTTGAGACCATTTTCTCTTGTTCTATTGCTTGTTATTTGGGAAAAGAGACCGACATCTGCCTCACAACACCCTTCTTTGAGGTAGGTGTAGAGAGCAATAAGCACCCCCCAAGCCTCCTTTTCTCCAGGCTAAACAACTTCAGTTTCCTTAGCCATTTCTTATAAGACTTGTTCTCCAGACCCTTCACCAGCTTCATTGCCCTTTTCTGGACTCACTCTGCCACCTCAATGTCTCTCTTCTAGTGAGGGGCCAGGAACTTTACACAGGATTTGAGATGCAGCCTCACCAGTGCCAAGTACAGCAGAAGTCACTTCCCTATTCTTGCTGTCCACATTATTTTTTATATAAGTCAGGTCCTCTTCCACCAAGCAGCTTTCCAGCCACTCATCCCCAAGCCTGTAGCGTTGCATGGGCTTGTTGAGACCTATACACAGGACACGGCACTTTGTCTTATTGAGCCACATACAAGTGGCCACAGCCCATCTATCCAGCCCATCCAGCTCTCTCTGTAGAGCCTTCCAACCCTCCAGTACATCAACACTTCCACCCAAATTCGTGTCATCTGCAGACTTATTGAGGGCACACTTGATTCCCTCATCCAGATCATCAACACAGATATTAAACTGAACTGAATCACTACTTGCTGATAGAGCAGACGTGTGACAGTAACAATTTCCCCCATTATTACATTACAATACACTTGCAACAACATCATCAATAGCAGAACAGCAGCAAACCATATGAAAACACCATGGCTATGTCCCAGACTGTCCCAGTATTTAATTTTTTTAAGTGATTAAATTAATGTCACACTGTGGCAACATCAACAATACCAAGATACCTCATTCCACCCACTACAGTGATGATAACAAAGTGCTATCCCGGTTACATAAAAGGGAGGAAAAAAATGTACAAAGGAAGTGTTCAGGTAACATCATTTAGCAAAATTATTTATGGTACAATGTCTTCTGGGAGTTAAGAAATGTCCCAAAATTCCCTATAATCCTTACAGCACTGTCTTTGGAAAAGATAGGAGGGAAAAAGATGAGGACATTTGTAACAAATGTTTGTGACAGATTAAGTCACAATGATTATTTTTGCTTAAATGTCATTTGGTGAATGTTGGTTTATTTGCACGGTAAAAGGTTTAGAAAAATGACATCTTAGTACTGATCAGCACTACACACACAAACACTCTGCAGACTATTAACTAACTGAAATAAAGTGAGTTGGAAGTTGCCATGTGTTCCTGGCTTTGTGTAATACCAGATTCTTCTAAATTAACTCTCACTGGCTTACTCGTGCCAATTCTCTTGTTTCATAAAACTGTAGTGGAAAATATCCAACAGGCATTATTCCATTACTACATTCAGTACTATAGTTTCCTCTCTTCTTAGGTTATCACCTCAGGAACTGTAGAAGGAGGGTTATTTTCTATACCTTTTAAGAAAAAGGTTTGGCCCCATAGGCACTTGCTGAATAGAAATGCAGAGGGGGTTTTGCCCTTGGCACATTAAACTGTTCCCAAATGTAGGAGGCAAAAGATAATTAAGATAAAGACCTAGGTATACAAATAATTTTCGCTATATGCTAGACTGAAGTCAAGGGTAACTTCATGCAAAGGTTAATCATCTGCCCAGAGTTGAAGCCTGTGTGAAATGTCAGGGTTTATCTAAAGCCGTGAGGAAGGCTTGTTCTAACTTAACACCAGCAAATAAAACACCTTATTTTAACAAGTTTGCAAAGCAAAGCAATGCAATTTTGTTGCTGCTACAGTCTTCTGCCTGAATGTGCGCCTGTGTGCATAATAAAATGATCATTTAGTCCATATCAGCTTTCCCCAGGAATGTGACTATATCCAATTGTAAAAATATCAGTGAACTCCGACCTGAGGCAGGTTTAGCAGAATTCAGATTTGCTAGTTTTACATTGATGAGTATCCTTTTCTCAGAAGCACATTTTTGTCCTGCAAATAATATTTTAAGATGTTTGGGCAGGTCCAAGCAGTATTACACCAGTAGTTCAAGGATGTGGTGTGTTTTCTAACAGCCAGAGTGATGAAAAAGGAGCCAAGTCTACTACCTACTAGCCTCATTGAGCCTTTGCTCTTCCCTAGTTTACCCTCAATATCACTCTTCTATTAATAGCTTGCTTTAATATTTGCAAAATATACTGAGTGCTAATGATTTCTGTTCACAGCAGGGTGTTCAGCTCTGAACTCAAAGTATTTTGGCATGCCATAAGAATGTGAGAAGAGGCTTAACTGAAAACCTCTTCTCAGACTAAATGCTTTATTTCAGACTGACAATTTACTTTGGCTTCAGGCTATGTTGTATTTCAGGCTTCAGGCTAAGTTGTATATCAAAGTTAACAACTTTTTGCACTACTATTACAGTAAGAGAACTCTGTTAGGCAATACACACATCAGCATTTTCTTCTCCCTTTAAGCACAGCTCAGTCTTTGAAGTGGCAACAAATGAGAACAGGTGTGTTTTGTAAATAAATTTCTACATTAACTTGCAAGCTTACCATGTAAAATGATTTAAAGACTCATCATCTTCCTTAAAGAGTATAGAGAGTAACATAAACAATTACTTTTTTTTGCAAAGATATTAGGTTGATCAGTTGGGCACATTGCAAAAAGACCTGAATTAGTCTAATTAGTCTCAGCTTCTTAAATTCAGAAACAGATGCCTCACTTTGCAAGACTGGTGATTAAAGGCTGTATTCACAAAAACAATTAGATTACACACACTTAAGACAATACCTGCCATTTTTCAGTCCTCCCCCCCACAGCAGATGGCCCATACCGTTAGTGATTTCAGTTCTCTGTAGAACTCAAAAGCTACAGCATGACTGCCCTTACTTCTAGAGATAAATGTATGCAGAAGCCAAGACTATTTCAAATGTTCTCTTCATATTAGGTTTAATAACATTGGCCAAGAAAGCCATTCAAACTATTTACACAGGGGTGCAGGTCAAAACTCAGTGCTTGCATGTTCCAAAAAGAGTCACTCACGTGGCTATTAGAAGCATTGGAAAGGCAGAATAATAATATAGAAAGCTCAGCAGCAAATATAATCAGCATCTTGCCCTTATAATACTCCAGCCAGCACAAGCAAGTGAGAAAGCCAAGACTCAGAGATACAAAATGCTCATTATCTACCCCAGAAGGCACAGCGCTGCCAACACTGCTCTTTATCAAGTCCTTAACAGGTGTAAAATTAGCACTCGTTATTAAAGACAATGGAGTTACATGTATTGCCAGCAGCTGAAGAAATGTACTAGAATTGTTTTCACCTCCAGTTAATTCGCTACCATTCAATAATACACATGAAGCCTGTAAATTAGAAAAGTGCTTTCTGAAGCCTGGTAGTGAGCTGAGCCAGTGTGCAAGCATCCTCTCTAAACACAGGTGCTTTGCTGAAGGAAGGCCTAAGGACCAAATCCTCTTTTCATCAATAATGACGTAAGTTCAAACAAACTAAATTCACCTGAGTGCACTCCCAGGTAAAGCTGCAGTGATGCAATATGTAACAAGAACCTGGAGCTGTAAGAAATCCTTGTAAGCAAATTCCAGGATAGAGTTATTTTCAGCTTCACAGATCGACAAGCTGAACCTAAATCCTCCCTTCTCAACTACTTATATGCATTCCCAGAAGCAGGGAAAGTTATTTACTGAGAGAAGCAAAACCTTATTTCAGATGTATCTCATTACAGGAGATGACCTCAGGTTTAGAACTGGAAGTCACTGAATCGTACAGGAGTGTGGTGCTTCATTGTGTATTTTTCTGGTTTAATACCATGCCCAGCTTTGAAAGCAAATTATTTCGCTTCATACTGTAGATAGGGACTCTATCTATGCTGAGCCATTTTTATTCAATAGCACTGTACATCTCACCACTCTACCCCTTTTCCCCAGTAACTGGGAGGATTAGCCAACATCAAGTAAATCTCACCAAGGGCAGAAATCTCAGTGATAATCACATTCCCACAGGGTTATATCACATGGCAGTGATACAGAGAAGGAAATTAACTCCTCCACCATGGGAAGAGTGGACACAAGTCAGGCAGCAATTGGCCAGACAGCGACATGCAAATTGCTCTGCACAAGCTGCATCATATGCTGCCTTATGTCTGCAGCAATTGTCACTGGGAACCTGTCAGGAGTTCAACTTCAGTGGGAGGGGATGGAAAGAAGTGTTCAAA